ACTCACCTTATTCCATTTAAAATTCATTTACAAATTGACTATCGTTCCAAAACTTGCCTTATCTATAGGTTATATCATGTCAGAACTGGCTTATACGTATATAATTTTAAATTATTTCAAATTGGAGCTATACCTTTTTAATCAAGGTATATAAATTTTATAATTATGTCTATATATTTCGTTTAAAGTATTCTGTTGGCCTGATATGCGTTAGTACTCACGTGTAAGGTTTTTGACATTTTGCTCAAAATCACCTAATATGGATAAGCCGAGTTTTGGAATGCACCTCCTCATATAATATAGGTATTAGGGTGGGTCGATTTTTATAATTTTTTTAAATTTCAAAACGCCTGTAGTAAAAAAAGTTGCGAATGGGTGAATAAATTTTTATTATATTAAAAAAATAAAATAAAAAATAGTATCACCCCCCCGCCAGACACCCCAAAAATCTAAAAAATTAAAATTAACAAATTATCACGCCTGTACCACAAAGTCATGTATTATGGTTTTTTATTTAGCCACAAAAAAATATTTTTTATTTTTAAACACATTTAAGCCCCCCGCTAGCCCTTAAAATTGATAATAAATAGATGCTTTTATAACTTGCTTACTAAAGAGCAGCTCTTTGCTTATTTTGTATAAAAATATACAAAATAACCCAGAACTCACCACGGAGAGGTGGCTGCCATCGAGTTCCATCCCTGCCCACCCATCCACCCTTCCATAAGGGCAGTTTTTTAATTTTACACTTTATAATCTGACTTTGTATTAAACTTTGGCATAATCTTTCTTGAAGCTATAGTTGCACGTATCCAGCCATCTCTGTTACTAAAGCCACACACTGCCGAAGACGCTTCTGTCACTAATTTGACACCTCTTTCGACAGCCTGCGTGTGGCAAGGCAATTTCCACACATCTCCTTCTGGAAACCCACCTGTTTTAATTAGTTCTTCAATTTCCTCATTAGTTAAATGTTTTGTCATTGGCGGCTCCGTAATTCTGCACTCTTGCCAATTTATTAAATCAATATAGGAATTTGATTCAAAATTGAACTTAGGAATTTGAAATTTTCTTATGGTGTTACTTTTACCCTTCTGTTTAGATCTGCAACTCAATATCTTTCTATATCCCAATTCTCTTATAGAACCACGTGAGTCAAAGATCATAGCTATTATAATATTTTCAGGATGGCCATAAAAGCCGTTTCGTTGGATTACAGGGTCAACCACCGCCTTTAGTTCGTCACTTAAGTATCTTGAATATTGAATTAGTTTCCAAAGATGCAGTGCTCCAGATGTGCATAAAGGTACAGTTTTAACAAGAAACCAAACCTTTGCATATACTCTAAGTACATATTCCGCAAGAATTTTTAGACTAAGCGATGGTTTTTCTGTTCCAATGTAAACACGCAAAATACGATTTGCCGTAGTAAGCCATCTTGCATGGGACAACTTGCCAGGAGATTTATTCGCTAAACTAGATGGACAGTTTCCAGTTGATATGGCAGTACAAATCTGATATAAATAATTTTGATCTGTACTTAGTTCTTCCAAATTCGATTCTTTTGTAGCACACAACAGGTAATTTCTCACAAGATTTAATTAGTTTACCGATAGGATCTGAAAATGATAAAGGTCCTGTGGTATTTCCATCCAGATAACGAGTCAGATGCCTCAATGGCAATTCATTTGCATGTAGCTGACATATTAGCCATTGAAATGGTCGTTTAAGATGATTTTCCAGTAAATGTATTACACCACCATGAGATCCGGTATTCACGACTGTACCATCGCAGCCAAGAGCAATTAGTTTTGTAGTTGACACTTCAGCTTCTGTTAAAAAATTTAAAATTGTTAAAGCTATTGTTTTAGCCGTACCATCTTCAGGTGTCACGTGTCCTATATAGTCGCTACATGGTTCCCTTAACAACACTATATGTTCTTCTATAATAGTTTTCCTAGATGATATATTACCTTGTTTTTCGATGTGAAGGGTCCGATCTTTGCGACCATCAAAATAGAGTGCTTGAAGAGCGACACCATCTTTTATTATGCTTTGTTGTAAGTCAAGTCTTTGCTTTTTTCTTTGTCGATCTTACACTTGTCTATTACATACGATTTGTCGCTTTTTGTTATTAATCCAACATCTTCAAGAACTGCGCTAGCTATCATTGCTCCTTTTCTACTCGATAATCCAGCTCTGTCTATCGCTTTTGCTAATGTAGGAAGTTTAGTTGTTATTTCTCCTGTAGAAGTTGACGGCTTTGGTTTAAAGTCTAGGTCGGAGTCGAGTTCGCTTTGTATTGATATGTCCGATAGATCGTCAAGTTCAACTTTTTTTTCTGGAATATTATACTGAGGGTTTATATTTTTTTCTTTTTTGCCTTTGCTTTAAAATCCTTGTTGTTTTGGCATCCACATTTCCCATAAACATCAACCTTGTAGTTCTTTGGTCCTTAAGAAATTCATGTTCAATTTTTGGAACTTTTTCCGACTTCTTACAAGTACACAATGAAATATCGGAGCATTTGCACTTTGAAATGTTAAAAAGCTTGGTGTTAGCTTCATCCTGAAACTTTTGTATCTTATTTTTAGCAGTATCACTGTTTTTTTTTTAAGAACTTTTTAATATTCATAAATTGTTGGTGATATTTTTTTAATAATGCAATACATTGTTGATCTGATATAATTGGTAAACTTGCCTTGCTCCAAATTTGCTGAACTTTTTTTAAAACGATTTTTGATATTTCGGTCACTGTTTTACTTTTATTTTCTCTAATGCAAAGGTCGTTTTGGACATATAGAAAATATCGCATACCATCACCATAACACGGAAGCACTGTTTCACATAAAAGAATAGGTTTACCAAAAACAGGATCACGAAGTGTCTGCCGCGTTAACACTTTATGTTTGTTAGCCGCCGCCATTGTCTTTTACAAGAAAAATTTACGTTATACTAGTTATTAAACACTGTCAAAGCACAACTACTGCACAAAACGGGAGTCACCAGTTCAATAAATAAAGTATTTGAAAATTTCAATTTGAAATGCACGTGGCCGGCCTCTTGCTCCAGCTCGGCCGATAATATAGGGTCCGCGGGGTGTTTACAATTTTAACTGGCGGGGGGTTTAAACGTTGCTTAAATGAGATACGAATTATTGTGGATTTATTCTAAGCTATTTTTAAGAATTTAACGCATCAGACTCTTTTGACTTAAATTAATTTTTTTTAGGGGTCGGGGGAAATATTAAAATTTTTAAAAAAATACCCTATCTATCTTAAACCATTTTACAACTTTTTTTACTACAGGCACATAAAAATTTAAAAATCGACCCACCCTAATAGGTATATATTAAAACTTAATATTCATAAACTTATGAATATTATGTAATATACTTGTATGAAATGGGATTGGACAGTCGTAGGCATTTAACTTGATAGTGATGCCGCCGATACGAGAGACGAGAGGGCGATTTTCAATCGAAAAAAGGCTCGAGACGAGACAAGAGAATGCCCTCTCTCGCTCGAGAATTTATCTTTTCTCTCGATCTCTCTCGTTCTATCGATTATTCCGGTTATAAGTAAACAATTTTTTTACATAAAAATTATAATTTTGCACATAAATGACGATATTTATTTGGACCAATAAGAACATTATTCCCATTTCATAATAAACAAAATTTGTTTCTGGTTAACGTTGTATTATTTTATAACACAACTTAACTTTAACCAAGAAAAAAATACTTATAAAATAATAATAATTTTTAAAATTTATCCTGTATAAGCACATCTATGGCACTCCTTATACTATTAAAAAAAACCGTAAGCTTAATTGCTTATTCAATAAACTTATCAACAACATGTGGTTTTTGAGGGGCTGATTACAAAATATAAAATGGCTGATTCAATATGACGAAAATTTGTCGTTCGGCTTTAATGGTTTGGATAAAATTTAGTATTTAGATATGGGGTCCCTGATTAAGAATTTGATATCCATTAAAAAAACAAAATTGGGGATTCAAAATGACGGACATGCGCAGTAGGTACAAGATGGTTGGATCATTCCAAATAATTTTTGTATTCATACATAGGTACTTTTACCACGAGAGAAACGAGACGAGACGAGAGAAAGGCACTCTCGAGCGAGAATAGAGTATTCTCGACTAGAGACGAGAGACCCATTTTCTCTCGCTGCATGAGATGAGGGAAGGACTTTTCTCGTCTCGTCTCGCGGCATCACTATAACTTGAAACCGAAATGAATTGATAGTACAAAAGAACAAAACAAAAAAAATAGAAAGTTCTCCATCCTATACTGGTATAAAACTATAAAGAAAATTACCAGATAAAATAAAAAAATTAAACTTAAATTATTTCAACAAAAAGTTAAGTTTCTGTTACAGAAAAATCCCTATTACCCTGATAGGGAATATATGGTGATATTTTATTGTTGTGATAGTATGGTTATGTAAGTGATATTTACTATTTGTTTTATATACCTATTATTTTATTATCTGCAATTTAAACCTAGTAGCTTTTCACCCCTATACATTTGTTTTTAAATTTTCCTGAAATAGTAAACAATTCCGAGTCTAAAATTTACTCACCAATTTTTTTAATTTTTTTTATATTTCAGAAACTAATAGAGATATTTAAGTGACAACTGTTAATATTTCATATTTTATTAAATATCAAGCAATTGGTTTAAATGGTAAACTTTTTATATTATAAAATTACGATTTTCGTGCGTAAAACGCTTACAAATAAATTTAAAAAAAGAAAAGGTTACTCCGTTAGTAACCATCAATATTGAGAAACTTATAAATATGTTGCTAAAATCCCGCGGCCACTAACGCAAATTTATGCGTTTGTCAGTAACATTTAATTATTTATATTTTAATAATAAATTAATAAAGTCGCAAAATCCCAAAGTACCCAAAGGTACTTTTTAGGTGGCTGGTTTTACTCGTTATGACTCGATATTAATATCTAAAAATTGTAGGTATTCGTCCAGATTGCCAGGATAACTCATACTTTGCCAATTGTCGACTTATAGTTGAAGGAAAATACTGTAATCACGCCTTTTACTCTAAGTATTGTTGTCGATCATGTACGCTAGCAGGATATAAAGTTTAATTTAAAATAGAACTAGTCGCAATATATTTTAAACTTATAAATACCTAATTTTAAAAATGTCTTGTTTTGTAATTTATTTTTTATATCATTATAATATGAAGACTTATAAAATGTAGATATTTTTGTCTTATACTCGATTATTTTGTGCAATTTTAATGTGGTTTGTAAATAAATGTAAGTTTAAATTTAAGTAGGTACCTAAATAATATCTTTTGTAAAATGTTTTTAATTATTCAAAAACTCAATAAAATTTAAATTTAAATTTATTCTTTTTATTTATTAAGGTATAATTATATAAGTGTTTTCCGCCTAACAAATGCATGAAGATGGAATTCCATAAGCAAGGGCGTCGCCAGCCAATGGGCCAGGGAGGGGCAAGGTGATAGATAAAGGAAATAAGTTGTTGATTAAATAAATATAATTTGTAGTGTATGTAACCTTCGGCCAAACATTCAGCTAAAATTGAGCCGAAGGTACATACTGCCTGTAAATCCCCAAATTTTCTATTAGAAAGTAGGCCCAGCTAAAACTTCGGCTCAATTTTAGCCGAAGCCGAATGTTTGGCATTTTTTATAAATTTATATAATAAACTCATACACCTTCAGCTTCGGCCAAACGTCTTAAAACAACCTAACATCGTCTTTTATTATAACGAATTTTAAAGCAGTGGCGGACTAAGGGGTTGAAGAGGGCGATGCGCCCCGGACCCCCGGTCTAGGGGGGCCAAATATCAAAAAATAACGCTGACATTTTTTGTTCAGGAATTGGGGGCCTCCGAACTCATACAAAATATGCGTAAGTACAACTTGTCAGGAATATGAAGATGCCTACATCTAACAGTTCATTTCGTAGAGTGGGTAAAATCAAACTAAACCAAGAATCGTAAAATATTTCTTTTCTTCGCAATTGGCATTACGTGTTTAATAAGGGTGTGTAGTATACAATTAGTAATCTTCTAATTTTACTTGAAACGTATGACAGATTAAAGAAAATTATAAATGCTGTCCTGTATTTATAGTCTTAAACCGAAAATAAGAATAAAATAAGTAAAAATAATGTATTTAATAAAACAACAATTTTAAAATCAATTGTCCATAAAGGTTACTACTCACTACGCGGTACTTTACAAGTAATTGTCAAGTTACCTATAGGTAACAAATAAATCGTCTCCGTTCTGGCAAAATATATTAAATCCTAAAGTTTTGATAAAAAAACACTTATGTTTTGCATGCCAAGTGACAATAGAATTTGAACTTATAAGTTATAACTATAGTTAAAAGCGACCACGACTGCTCCATGCTAAAAATACAATACTGCACTTAATGAGTTTTTCTAGACCACAGATATATTAAAAGGGTTGAGGGAGTATCAGATTGGGTAAATCCTTTAGTTTTAGTCAAAAAACCAAATGGAAGTTTACGAATATGCCTGGACCCCCGAGCTTAAAATGAAGAAATAAAAAGAGGATATTGTCAAATTCCAACACTAGACCAAATAGCTTATAAATTAAATAGTGCAAAATTCTTTAGTACTTTAGATGCCAGAAATGGTTTTTATCAAATTCCTTTAGACCAGAAAAGTTCTGATTTATGTACGTTTGGTACTCCTTACGGGAGATACAAATTTCTGCGTATGCCTTACGGCATAACATCCGCACCTGAAGTGTTTCAAAGTAGGTTTAAAGAAATATTTAATATTGAAGGGGTAGAAGTATACATAGATGATATTATTATTTGGGGTGAGACAAAGTCTGAACACGATGCTAGATTAAAAAAAATTCTTGAAATTGCTAAAACACACGGTGTTAAATTTAATCTAGAAAAAATGCAAATTAGGGTGAAATTCAGTAAATTACATGGGTCAGAATTTTTCTGAAAACGGAATAGCACCAAATAATTCAAGAATCGAGGCAATTCAAAAGTTAACCAAACCCACAGATGAAAAAGGCGTTCAAAGACTGTTAGGAATATTAACATACGTAAGCCGTTTTATTAAAAATCTCTCAAGTGAAACCTTAGTTTTACGTGAACTTTTAAAAAAAGATGTAGAGTTTGAGTAGGCAGCTGAACATGATAAAGCTTTTGAAAATTTAAAGTCGAGCTTAGTTAGCAAACCAGTGTTACAATTTTTTAATGTTAATAAATAGTCAACAATTTCTGTGGACGCATCAAAGTTGGGATTGGGTGCGGTTTTACTTCAAAATAATTTACCATGTGCATATGGTTCAAGAGCAATGACTGAAACCCAAACGCGATACTCACAAATAGAAAAAGAATTACTTGCTATATTTTTGGGTTAGAGAAATTTCATGAATATGTTTTTGGTAAAAAAGTAATTGTAGAGACTGATCACCAACCATTAATAGCAATATTTAAAAAACAATTGTATAAATGCATGGACATGTCCAGCGCGGTTATCGCGAATGCTTTTACAATTGCAAAAATACGAAATTAATTTAATTTACAAGCCGGGAAAGGAATTGATAATAGCAGATGCCTTATCTAGGGCTTATCAAGTTGAAACGTCGGAAGATGAACTGGACAGGGAAATAGAGGGACATGTGTCTTTAATATCGACAAACATAAATGCATCAAGTTCAAAATTAAATGAATTACGTTCAGAAACTGAAAAGGATTTAGAATTAACGGAACTCAAAAAAGTCATTCTAGATTAATGGCCCATTAACAATAATAAATTACCAGACATTGTTAAAAAATATTGTTTTTATAAAAGTTATTTAACTATACAAAATGATTTAATATTTAAAGGGCAATGTATGTATGTAGAAGTATGAGACCTGAAATGCTGAATCGAATACACTATGCTCATTTAGGTATCCACAAATGCTGGCACAAGAGTCTTTATTTTGGCCTGGCATGCGAAACGAAATTAAACAAAAAATATCATTGTCATTTATGTCTAAAATATGCTAATTCTCAGAGCAAAGAGTCTTTAATTTGTCATAAAATACCAACTTTACCGTGGAACAAAATTGGGTGCGATCATTTTGAAATACGTGGTCATAAATATTTACTTTTGATAGACTATTTCTCTAAATAGTTAGAAATAGCGAATTTAAAAAATGATACAACAAGCAATATTGTAATTAATAACATGAAAGCAATATTTACTAGGCATTGCATACCTGTAACAGTGGTATCTGACGGAGGGCCTCAATTTACATCACAACCGTTTAAAGCTTTTTCTAAAAGTTGGGAATTTAATCATGTTATATCTTCACCAACTTATGCACAGTCAAACGGCATGGCTGAAAGATATATCCAAACAACTAAAAAAATATTTAAAAAAATAGTAGAAGAAAACAAAGATTTAAATTTAGCATTATTACATTATAGAAACACGCCAATACATGAAAATGTGTCAACGTCAGAAATTATAATGTCCAGAAAGTTAAGAACTAATGTACCATTAATTGAAAAGGCATATAAACCTAAAATTGTACAAAATTATAATAAAAACACGATAATTGCAAGTCAACAAAATCAACAAAAATACTATAATAAAAATGTTCAATTAAAAACATTTAGTAGCTGGCAACCAGCTTTAGTATTATGTAAAATAGCAAATATAACTTATAAAATAAGGACAAACAATGGTTCTACTTATATTAGAAATAGAAAATTTATTAAACCCATAAATAAAACAGTAGAACATTGCAATGCCATGAGCCAGAAAAAAGAAAGGAAAGAAGTTATGAAACTAAGTATTAAGCTGACAGCGACTTGGAGATATTTATTAACAATTTTGAACAGTTAATGCAAAAAATTTATAAAAACAATTTCAATTATATTATTTGTGGAGACATAAATGTAAATATTTTGTCAGAATCCAATGCTAGTATGGTTCTTCTAAATACAATGTTGCAGTTTAATTTAAAACATCACATTAATGTTCCAACCCGTATTTCAAAATCTTCACAAACTTGTATAGACAATATTTTTTCAAATTTAGCAGCTTTAACAGTAAAAGTTAATGATATATTTTTATCTGATCATACTTATCAATTGTGTCAATTTAATTTGCCAATTGCTTGTACATTGGAAAAATATTTTTATATGCGAGATTACTCCGATGAAAATATGAGTATGTTTAGAGAGTTAATTACAAAAGAGACCTGGGCAGATTTATACTTGGAGAACGATTTTAATGCAAAATTTAATATTTTTTACAATAAGTTTATTTATTACTATTATACTTCATTTCCTCTTTGTAAGAAAAGAATAAAAAACAATAATAAAAACTGGTTTAATGATAATTTAAAAAATATGCATAAACATCTTTGTGATATGGCCAAATGTTCAAAGCGTTTGGAGAACTCAGATTATACAGAGCGTTTCAAAAAATTTAAAAAATTATACAAAATAGAAATAAACAAGGCAAAACGTTCAGCAAATGACTTAAAAATTAGAAATTCAACCAATATAGCTAAAGATAGTTGGAACATAATAAATAAAACTAAAAATAAAATCAATAATAATAATATCCAACTTAAAAATCAAGACAATCAAATGATTACAAATAAAACAGATCTATGTAATATGTTTAATGATTATTTTTTGAGTCTTTCAGATAACAGAATTTTACCAAATATTGAATCTTTAAATATAAAAGTATGCAATAAAAGTTTCTACTTATCTCCAGTTATTCCCAACGATGTAAAATTGGCAATTATAAAAACCACAAGTAAACCAACACCAGGTATAGATGAGGTGAGTGGAAAAATATTAAAATATGTCAATGAAGCTTTATCACTTCCTTTAAGCTACTTAATTAATGAGTCATTTAGTTTGGGTGAATATCCGACAGTTTTAAAAACATCGAAGTGCATCCCCATATTTAAAAATAAGGGGTGCAAAACTGATTCAAAAAACTACCGTTCTGTTTGTCTGCAGAGTCAGTTTGCAAAAGTTTTTGATATGTTGTATTATGTGCGCTTACAAGACTATTTAGAAATTAATAATTTTATAGCCAATAATCAAAATGGGTTTAGAAGGAATAAAAGTACAAGCTCTGCAATATCTGATGCAATTTCCTTCATTTATAATTCTCTTAATAGTAAGGAAAATGTTGTTGGTCTTTTTTTCGATTTAAGCAGGGCTTTTGATACTGTGGACCATGAATTATTACTTAAAAAACTAGAATCTGTTGGAGTACGTGGCATTCCATACAATTGGGCGAAATGTTATCTCAAGGATAGGTATCAAACTGTGTCATTGCAAG